TATATATATATAAATAATTCAAAGGAATGGAAGGAGGCTATTAGAAGAGCCCCGACACCCTCTAATGCGCCTAACCGCTTGAGTACGAACCCCATAGTTAAAGGGGGGATTCGAACCCTAGTCCATAGGGGGCTTATAACTGACAAAGCTGATACTCTACGAACTAATCTTGGAACGCGGCGCATGTATATTGTTATGGTATGGCTCATATACCATATAAGGACAGATGCTGGAATGAAGCGGAGCAGAGCGGAGCAAAGCGGAAGAATCTGTCCAAATCGGGAAGTTACGTTATGTGGGTTGGGGCTATACGGTACAGGGGTAATTTGGGGAATACATATTGTACTGTAGGGTTTATTCTAGGATTATAAATAAACATGTTTATAATCCTAGGTCTTTGAGAGAGTTGAATTTTGTATTCTGTATTCTTTTTTGAATATTGAAAAGGAGGTCACCGCTCTGCTCCCGAGGATGTAGACATATTTGCCGAACCTCGTTAAATCTCTGCGTTCTTCTGGATTTGTGTCGATTACTGTTTTTCTTCGCCCCTAATTTTCTCAACAAGTGGTATCAGAGACTGGTTCGAGGGGAAGAAAATTTTCATCTGCAGCACAAGAAGTTCGGCGGCGAGATTTTACGAATCAGAGCGGAGGATCGCGGCGTTCTGCGTAAGGAACGAGTTCACGGCAAGAGAGGCTCTAGATCGTGGTGCGGCTCAGGGAAGCGGATTGCGGGTTCGAAGGCGGAACAGCAGGTCGACGTGCTCGACCAGGGCTTCGGCCGAACAGCGCGGCGGAGGCTTGCGACAGGCAGAAGCAGTGAAAGCGGAGGCTTCTAAGACAGGCCGAAGGATCGTGAAGGAGGCTTGCGGCAGGAAGAGGAGCTCTCGCCTTCGCAGGTCCGGCTGAGGCGTTCGCGGATTCAAAAAGGAGCGGAGGCCACAGCTGCCAATCGCACGCAGAGGGGAGCTCGGCGCTGATCGCGAACGAAAAAGGAAAGGAGCGAGGTCAGGAACGGAAAGGAGCGGGGAGACGTGATTTTCCATTCCTGGGCGGTTTGGCTCCGCTGGGCTCCGCTGAACAGGAAAACAGGCCGCTGAACAGGAAAATAGGGAAAGTTGATTTGCACTGGAAGAATATTTTCTTCCATTAAAGGCTGCTGTGCAAAGGAGCAATTGGATTTTGAAATCTCTTCCGCTGGAGGCTGCTGGCAGGGGACTGGAAAGGGAAGTTAAAATTATGTTTATTAAAAGGATTTAATTAAGGAAATTTTCTTAATTAAGGAGAAATATTTTCTTAAAAAAAAAAAAAGAGGTCTAAGCAAGGATTTTTGCAGAGGATTTTTTTTTTTTGCAGAAAAGTTTTTATTGCGGGATCATCAAAATTGTTCGCAAGGCGGACGGGCTCGCGGGAATGAACATGTGCGAAACAGTTCGGATACGGCAGTTCGACGAGTTATGCTTCGAGGAGTTCGCGGTAGAGGCAGTGTCGCGATTTTGAGGCGCGACAGTTCATGAATCTTCGCGGCATTAGGCGAGATGGAGTTCGCGAACAGGAGTTCGTGTGCAGTTACCGCGAACAGGAGCGTTTGCAACCAGAGGAGTTTGGTGGTGTGCGTCCACGAGTAGATGCGATTATTCGCGAATAGTGGTTTCGCGGAGGTATTTCGCGAAGGGTTTCGCTCACAAGACAGCAGTTTAGCCGAGGTGCTGGCGCAAATAAGAAAAGTGCTTCAACCCACATTTGTGCATAAGAAACTCCATGATATTTTTCTCCAAAGGGGCTTGATATTCGCAAGGTGGAGATTTTCTCCTAAGGGGCAGGATGTTCGCAAGGTGGCGATATTTCTCCTAAGGGGCTGGATATTCGCAAGGTGGAGATTTTCTCCTAAAGGGCGGGATATTCGCAAGGTGGAGATTTTTCTCCTAAGGGATTAAATATTCGCAAAATGGAGATTTTCTCCTAAAGGGCTGGATATTCGCCAAGGTGGAGAATTGTTAGGTATGACTCATAATACCAGAATTTGGAGTCTCTTGGAATGAAGAGAAGTCTCTTGGAATTAAAGAGGTGTGTCTCTTGGAATTTAGTGAGTTGAGATCAGCGTGGGCGCAACAGAAGCATGGTGGCCCAACCCACACTGGTGCAGGTGTAACTCCCAGAT